GCACCTCCCTGGCAGTAGGTAAAGTAGGAGAGAAACTATTTATATTCTATCATAATTCAAAAGAAAATGATTCATTTATTTACGACAGCCATATGGGCTAGACCACCTGGAGCTGGTTCTAGAATGTTAAGGTAAAGGGCTCATCTTAGCTTCTGCTGTCCTTAAGAGGCAAGTGGCACCTTTGTCCCTGAGCCTGATGAGTGCTTCTGCCTCTGGAGATGTAAGAGCAGCTCCTGACAGACAAATCAGTCAAATTGGCTAAAGGGTATCTATCTCCTTCTTCTTCAGGCAATTCTCTTAATTTCATTTGCCAGCACTGGGTGCCTCAAAAAGTCTACTGTGTCCCTTGCACAGCACGAAATTTTCTAAACCAGAATCTTTTTTGCATAAACGAGATATGCAAAAGTAAGATAAGATAAGATTTTTGCTTACAATCTTATAAACCAGAATTTGGTTTTGCAGGCATAACCAGTCCTTTACTGGAGAAAAGGTTGTACTTTTCAACCTTTTCTTCCTCCGAATCCTCACTGTTTTGCAGCGTGGTGAACACGTCCCCAGAAGGCCAATGGAACATGCTTGCGGCTATTTGTGCTTCAATAGTCACCCCCTTCCCCTCTCTCGCCGCTCTTTGGAGGCGGAACCCTATTCCTATCTAGCTTCCTTTTCCTTCCCAAGAAGTGTATCTTTGCTAGTGGGACTGTAAACGGGAAGAAAAGCTATCAAAGCACAAAGGGAAGGAATTGATAACAATATATGTAGGTGTGTACATGTATCGATAGTGACAGACTCATTTCCATGCGAGTGAAGATGTTCTCAGTGCCTCTAACTGACACCCTGTGTATCTGTGTGCTTGGACATGCTGATGAAAATATACACGGCTGGACTCACCCTTGGAGGCCAAGTGGACAGCTGCTGATGGGCTGTGATTTGATTTTGCTGCGGGGACCTCTCCACGGCTACTCCAACTGGCCCAGGCTTGTTGACTGCTGGGAATTCTCGCATCGCCAGCCTCTTTGGATCAGGTACTGAAAGTTGTTTAAATGCAAATTATTTTCTAGGAGGTAGAGACATTATTATTCATTAATATTTGGACTTTAATGAGTTTATCAGCTTAGAAGGGAATAGGCCAGAGTCTTTTAGTAACAGAAGCTGGAGAGATACATGTTAACGATGAGTGGGAAAAAATAGTGAGATATGGACTGCTACTGAAACTATAGCCATGGACTCAAAGAACAGCACAAGGATGCTTGTTATCTGGTAAGAAATAAGATGGGAAAAGGGAAGTAGGAAAATGGGAAGTAAAGTGCCTCCTCAAATCCACAGGTCATTTGTGCCTGTTGCTCTCAATGTTTCTTCCCTAAGTGGGAGTGTGTGTAGAAACTCTTGCTGAGTCACTGATGTGTCTCATGTTCCTGTGGCATCACTGCTTTCAAAATTGCATTTATTTAAAAGTCCATGGCTAGGTGCAGACAAAACCCCTGCCTTCATGGAACTTGGCGTTTTAGAGGGTGATGCGGACTCCAGCCAGTGGTGTCCGCGATGTTGTGGCTGCGACGAACAAATTCACATGGACCGCAGAAGTGCTGTGGAGGAAAAGGGACGGCACGGCCACTCTGTAAGGGGGAGAGGGTCTCCACCGCTGCCTGGACAGGATTTTATTGCTTTTCTGGGAGCAGTACTTCAAGGAAGGTCTTCCTTCATTCATCAGGGTCAGGCAGTAAGGATCAAACAATAGGTAACATTGAAAGAACTTTGAGGGCTTATTCTGAGTCAGGGTCAGTTAGCTAAAGGACCCTAAAACTTTGGGAAACGAACTCATTTCCTGCTTGGACCCTTATCAGAAAATTGAGAGCATTCTTAGCAAAGCAGGTTTCACAGGATTTTATGCATTCTTTCTTAGGCCTGATCACCCCAGGCAACCGCTGGTGCATTCCTGCCCAGGGCTGCACCCACTTCCAGCATTGTTTCAGGCTTAGGTGGAGCAGGGGAAGTAAGGCAGCTGAGAAATTAGGAGACTTCTTGCAGACAGAATGAGGACTGGGGCTCTGTCAAAGCCAAGGGCCAAGGGTCCATCACCCCCTTTTTCTATAGCCTCCCAAGTCCTTCCCTGAGGGCCCCTTTGTGACCATGCCTGTCTTAGGTCATCCCTCCCTTGAGGAATCTTACCCACCATCAGCTAACCACTCCTCCGCCTGGGGCCAAGCAGGGTGAAGTAAAAGGGGGCTGAGGCAGCGCCTCTACCAGAAGATAAGCTTTGTCTCCTTAGAAGCTTAGACTCCCAGGGCCTCTTACTCAGCCTTGGCCATGGGGCATTACATCTTCTGAATCCAGGCAGGGCAGTTCCCAACAAGAGGAGAGCTGGGGGAGAGACAGCAGGCACAACAAACAAGGGAAAGGTGGTACACTTATTAAATGCTGACAGAAGCCACAGAGAAAAATAAAACAATGCAGGGAGATGGGGAGGGAGGGCCATTTTAAATAAGGGGGTCAGAGAAGGTCACTAGATGGTGACAGTTCAGTAAAGAGTGAATGAAGAGTGAGCAAGCTGGGTAGATGTTAATGTGAAAACCATTTGCAGCAGAGGGAACAGTGAACAGAGGGTCCTGTAGCGGGAACACCCACGCCTGGTGTGTCTGAGGAAGAGAAGGGGTACGTGGAGGGAGAGGTTACCTGGGCTGGAGAGAGTGGGCGCTGTGGGCAGGTGAGCATGGACACCACGGGAGAGGATGGGAGGAGATGAGGTCAGAAGATCATGGGGAGGCCCAGTTTCTGCAGAACCTTTATAAAAATTTCGCTTCTGCCCTGAGGGAGAGGGTTTTGAGCAGGGCATGATATCATTCACCTTGCAATTTAATAGTCTACTGAAGGGGTTAGCTAGAGATGGTAAGTATTTTTGCGGGCCATGAGGTGTCTGTTTGTAACTCCTTGGTGCTGCTGTGGTAGCACAAGGTAAACTAATGAGAACAGCTGTGTTGCAATAAAGCTTTATTTACAAAACCAGGTGGCAGGCCAGACTGGCCCATGCTGATCCTTGGGCTGTTATAATCCAGAGGAGAGGTGAAGGTGGCTGGGACCAGGGTGGTAGTCATGGAGGTAGCAAGACAGGGTCAGGTACTGTGTATCTGCTGAAGACAAAGCCTGTCGGATTTGTGGTCAGAACAGATGTGGGTTGTGAGAGAAACCAAGGAGGACTCCAAGGTTTTTATCCTGAGCAACTGGAGAAATGGAGTCACTGTTAACTGAAGTGGGGAAAAAACTGAGAGGTGAGGTTTGATGGGGAAGAAGAGGAGGGGTATCAGGAGTCGGTGCGAGACGTGGAAATTTAAGATGCCTTTAGGAGAAAGGAATTGGATTCAGTGATCCCTACCTCCCCTTCTAGCTCCAACATTCTGTGTCCCTGCGACTGGGAGAGAACAAGCATGTGCCCTGCTGGTGTCTGCTGTGGTCGTGTTCTTCAGGGAGACCTTCCACACCGAATTACTTCATCTTTCCCAAACGCACTTGGTAATTATGCTGGCTAGAGATCAGTTGCTGCAAGGAAGAAACACTGAAAGGAAGGCAACTGCCAGCTGAAACTAGCAGGGGGACTTGGAAGAGCCGCTTAAATGCTGTATGTGCCCCAGGAGGCTTTGAGGGCTGGAGGCAAATTCCCATTTCCTGGGGCTTATTCATAATGGAGGGTTGTCAGTCGACCAGGCTAAGCACATTCAATGTTCAACTTGTTTCCCAAGAAAGAGCAAACTGTCTTCAACTCCACCTCGTTCTGTTCTTAGCATGGCCACACTTCAGACCCCCTGGCCCTCCACAAGATACCCCAGAGCCCTGCGTTCATCCTGATGACCCCCAGAGACCCACAGGACACAGACAGGGTCTCTGTCATTGGCTTCTCCAGGCGAGTTCCTGCTCTTCTCCCTTATCTTTCCTCACTGGGAGATACATCTTCTCTCTGCCCAAATTCTTTCCACCCAAGAAGGGGCTCTGTGCCAGTGGGGTTGTTTGCTGTGTGGAGAGCTGGCAAACCACTTTGGGAGTGAGCTGATAGGAATATATTTAAAATGTGAGCATTTATCAGAAGCAGCAGATGGAGGCAACAGAGTGGAGCTCCCAGAACCGAGGGCAGGGAGTGTTTCATTCGAGTGGAAAGAGCGCACCATCTAGACTCCGCTGGCACCAGCTCCTGAAACCAGTGAAGGGAAGGAGGAAAACAAAAAAGGCCACCTTTGTGCTAGGCTGGGAAGGTCACAGCCCTCCCTGACTGAGTCCTCAGTGCCTCAAAGACTGCATTCACTCCGGGGTGTGAAAAAAACCCTTCCACTGTCCCTTTCCTTCACAGCTTGACTTCCCTAAAGCTTAGTAAGTTTAGTAAAAATTCTGAAGCTCAGAACAAATGGGAATACAGGCTATTTCATTGATAAGGCATGCATTAATTCATTGGACAGGTATTTTTTATATGCCTCAGACATGCCAGGAGCCAGGGAATATACTTTGGGACAGAGAAGAATCAGGCGTTATATATGTTGCAATTCTGAAACATTAGAACTGTCAAAAGTATGTTTGTTTTAATTTCTTACCACCATCCCCACCCCTAAAAGTACAAATACTTTCAAGATCTATTCTAGTTACTATTTGAAGAAAAAAGTGTATTTTTTAAGCAATAAATTTCTTCAGAGCACAAGTACCAAACTCAACATATTAGAGGAGTAAAAAAACAATGACATTATTTCAGATCGCCCGTTTGCCCAGAGCACCATGGGAATGCCATTCCAAGTAGAGGGCCAGTTTTAACAGCTGACCTAAGGTCCGGAGAAGGGTATCAAGCCATGCTGCCAAGGGCAAACAGTTCGCCATCCTCACCCTGTGAACCTTTGGGGAAACACTTGCCTTCTGGGGTTTTTCATCTTCTTTTTTCTTTTTATTTTAGAGAGTTTTTTAAAGGTGCTACCAATAAATAAAGCACATATTTCTTCATATTGTCTTTACGTGAGAGTCCCAACATGTGATCCTTTGCTCTGTTGTGTGTAGAAGATGTGATGTCAAATCCCCTGGTCAGAGTTAATCATGCCTTCCCTTGGTGCCACCCGCGAGGTGTAACAGCAGATTTAAATATAACAGGTTACGTTCTTTGCTCTTCCTCATGACGCACTGTGACTTCCTCAAGGAATGTGCAGCACAGTGCCCAACACAGCTGGCACTGAACGTGGCAAATGTCTTTATCCTGTACAGAAATGCATGCAATTATAAAGAATAAAAAAGAAAGGTTACCAACCATTGCCCATATTTATCAAGTTATGTTCAGTGTAGATATATTAGAAAACATTCAGTTGTTATGGATGACTATACCACTAATCCACAAGCTCTCAGAGTTGTTTTATTTATTAATTATTATTATTTTAAGTCATGTATTCAACAACCTTTGTTGAAGATTTACTCAGATTCAGACTGTGTGATTTCCTGGGAGGTAGGGAGTGATGGAGAGACAGTCCCCGCCTACAAACCGCCCTCCCCCACTGCTAGGACTGGGCCAGTACTAGGTTCGGGAACTAAGAGAACACCACGGGGAGGAAAGATACAGGGAAGCACTGGGGATGGAGGGAGCGGCTGTGTGAACTGAGGCTTGAAGGGAGCGCTGTGTGAATCAGGCTGACCAGCAGTTCTCAGCAGGAGATATTGCCCCTTCCGGGGGTTTGGAAATCGTGGGGGGTATTACTGGTGGTTGCTGATGGGAGGACAGCACTGGCATTTACTGGATGGAGGCCAGAGATGCTACGCGTGCCGCCATGCATGATTCAGCCCTCTGTAACAGAGAACCCTCTGCATCCAACGTGGCATTTGAGTGTTCCATCCCAGACACTTATATAGGTGAAATTCTGCTCATTAGAATGCTCTTAGCCCCAAACCCAACTCTTGTCATGTACAGCCAGAAAGCATACTCTGCACAGTTTTACTTAAACCTTCATTTTGCAAGACTAGGACTCCCTTATGAGCCAGAAGAAGATTGTGTTTTGCTCTCTCTGGAATTTTGCCAGGAGTCGTATCACTGACGGCCTTACTGCCCGTGGTGTTGGTGTCACCAGTGGGCCCGAGTCCACCTTCATCGGTGTTTGTCCATCCCCAGTGCGTCTGGGCAAACACTTCATTACTTTGTTAAGTCTTGGAGAGCCGTTGTCTCTAAGCATTCACATATAGAAATACATATTTTATTTCACATTGCTTCCTTTTTTATTATTATAGTTAAAATATTATACAGGATTTTTTAAATTATTAGCATAGATACGTTATCCAGGGCATTTATTTCAAGATAACAAAGGGCAGGTTGCATTTTTAATACCTAAGAGGGGAGCACTGAAGGCTGAGGACCAGTATGATGGGCAAAGTAGGTGGAAAGAGCATTCTAGGAAGTACAGCAGGTCCTTGAATAACATCGTTTCATTATAACATTGATGAGAGGCAGCACAGACTTCATTTTTGTTTATACCAATTAGCCTATGGTAAAATTGGTTTTGTCAGACATGATTTTGCTTAAAAGTCTCAGAACCTATCAATGATGTTAAGTAAAATCTCACGGTAGTCTAAACTTTTCATGTGTGCAGGAATCACCTGCGAAAAATGTGGATTTGGTTTAGTAGGTCTGAGGTCAGGCCTGAGAGCCTAATTTTCTAACACCCCCAGGTGATGCTGAAGTTACTCGTCCATGGAACACACTTTGAATAGCACAAATCTACACAAAGAATTGCATGAATGAAGGCACAGAGGTTTGGAAGAGCATTTCTGGGAAACAACTAGTCACTTGGTATAATCGGAGCATGAAGTACAAGGTGTTGTGTGGTGAGAGATGAGATTAGAGAAGGAGGCAGTCGGAGCAGGCAGGTCTTTGTACACTCTGGACTTCCCTTTCTAGGCAGCAGAGACCCTGGAAGAATTTTAAGTAGAGGGGTGTGAAGTTAGATCTCTGGCAATGTGCAGGATGGCTCTGCTGGACACAGCGAGTTCAGCAAGAAGGATTTTATAATTATGTTGCTTAAACATAGAAGTAGTGAAAACCTGAATGGAGGAAGCCACCATAGAAGTAGAAGAATGGAGACAAGCTTGGAGGTTTGGAGTTAGATTAAACTGGGACTTAGTAATTGGTTGAGTGAGAGTGTGGAGGAGAGGGAGGATCAAGGGCAACTTGCAGTTTTTGTAAGAGCACTGGGTGAACAGTGATGCCACTGACTGACATAGTGAGCAGAGAAGTAGATGCAAGTTTGGAGCCAAAGTTCAGGAAAATTGGCTTTCAGATAAATGAACTCAAAACACAGAAAGATGGCCAATTGGACTGTGATGTGAGGACTTTTATTAAAAGTGTATTGCATTGTAGAGAAAAGGGAATGCTTGTACACTATTTATGGGAATGTAAATTTGTGCAGCCACTGCGGGAAACAGCTTGGAGGTTCCTCAAAATTTTAAAACTACAAGAACATATGATCTAGCAGTTTCATGTCTGGGTATATTCTCAAAAAAATAAAGATCAGGATCTCAAAGAGATATCTGCACTTCCATGTTCATTTCAGCATTATTCCCAATAGCCAAGATATGGAAGCAACTTGTATGTCTACTGACAGACGAACGATAAAGAAAATGTGGTATATATGAGCAATAAATATATTTCAGCCTTAAGAAAGAAGGAAATCCTGTCATTTTCAACATCATGGATGAACCTGGAGAACATTCTGCTAAATAAAATAAGGCAGACACAGAAGAAAAAATAATACATGATAGCAGTTATATGAGGAATCTGAATTAGTCCATCCCATGAAGCAAAGAGTGGAATGGTAGTGGCTAGGGCTTGGGGGGAACAGTATTAGTCAAAGTGCACAAAGTTTGGTTATACAAATAAATCCTACAGATCTGCTGTATAGCAAAGTGCTTGTAGTGAACCATACTGTATTGTATACTTAAAAATTTGCTAAGAGGGTAGATCTTATGTTAACAGTTCTTATCACAAAAACAGTAATAAATAAGAGGGCAGAAGTAAATTTCTGAAGGTGATATATGTTTATGGCATAGATTGTGGTGATGGTTTCATGGATGTGTATTTATCTATAAACTCATTAAGTGGTATACATTAATTATGTAAACTTTTTTTGTATACCAATTATACCTCAATAAAGTGGAGATTTTTTAAGTATATTTACTGGTTATGCTACTACAGTTGTCCCATTTTTTCTCCCTTTTATCTCCTTCCACCCTGTATCCCCTTCCCTCTAGCATTCCCTACCCCTTAGTTCACATCCCTGGGTTGTATATATAACTTCTTTGGCTTCTCCCTTTCTCATACTATTCTTAACCTCCCCCTGTCCATTTTGTACCTACCATTTATGCTTCTTATTCCTTGTACCTCTTCCCCATTCTCCCTCCTCCCCCTCCCCACTGATAACCCTTCATATGATCTTCATTCCTGTGATTCAGTTCCTGTTCTAGTTGTTTACTTAGTTGGGTTTTTTGGTTGTTGTTCACTTGTTGATAGTTTTGAGTTTGTTGTCATTTTACCACTCATAGTTTTGGTCTTCTTTTTTTAGATAAATCCCTTTAACATTTCATATAATAAGGGCTTGGTGATGATGAACTCCTTTAACTTGACCTTACCTGAGAAGCACTTTATCTGCCCTTCCATTCTAAATGGTAGCTTTGCTGGATAGAGTAATCTTGGATGTAGATCCTTGCCTTTCATGACTTCAAATACTTCTTTCCCACCCCTTCTTGTGTGCAATGTTTCTTATCAGAAATCAGCTGATAGTCTTATGGGAATTCCTTTGCAAGTAACTGTCTCCTTTTCTCTTGTTGCTTTTAATTGTTGCTGCTCCCCTTATCTTTAATCTTGGGGAGTTTAATGATGATGTGTCTTTGGGTCCAACTTCTTTGGGGCTCTCTGAGCTTCCTGGACTTGTATGTCTATTTCCTTTGCCATATTGGGGAAGGTTTTTATTTTTTGCTCTTCCTCTTCCCCTTCCGGCATCTCTATGATTTGGATGTTGGAACATTTAAAGTTGCCTGAGATGTTCCTGCCTCTTTTCATTTTTTTTCTTGTTTTTCATTGTGTTCTGGTTGAATGTTAATTTTTTCCTTTTGATCCAAATAGCTGGTTTGAGTTCTGGTTTCCTTCCTGTCATTGTTGGTTCCCTGTATATTTTTCTTTATTTCACTTTGCATAGCTTTCACTTTTCCCTCTATTTTGTGACCATACTCAACCATTTCTGTAAGCATCTTGATTATCAGTGTTTTGAGTTCTGCATTGGATAGGTTGGCTATTTCCCCATTACTTAGTTTTTTTCTGGAGTTTTGATCTGTTCTTATATTTGTGCCATATTTCTTTGTTTTGGCATACCTATTACATTGTTAGGGGTGGAGCTTCAAGAATTCACCAAGATGGGACAACCCACATCTCTATGTTGTGGTACTTTATGTGAGGAAGGAATCAGAGAGGGAACAATGCTGCTTGCTTGGCTTTCTCCCACTTTTAGTCACTTACCTTGCTACCCATGAACTAACTGTGCCCTTCTGGTGCTGATTCTCAGGTGGGTGGGCTTGTGTATGTTTTAGGATCCGCTGGGCCCCTCCAACAAACTCTCCTGTGTGATTGGCAGTTTCTCCTGCCACTTCAACCCCCACAGATTTTTACAGCCAGAGGTTTTGAAACTTTCTTTTCCCAGTACTGGAAACCTGGGTTACATGGTCTGCCTTGCTTCCCAGTTGTTCCTCCTGGTTTATCTGCACACGAATGTGGGCCCACTTGGGCTGCCAGCCATAGCCCTGCCACATGTCCTCTCTGACCTGGTTCCTTGTCTTCACCCCTCCTACCAGTCTGGATGAATGTTTCTTCTCTAACTCCTTGGTTGTCAAACTTCCGTACAGTTCGATTTGGGGGCAGTTCTAGTTGTCTTTAAATTGGCTTTTATGCCCCTTTTAGTTGTACAAGGAAGTAAAGCATATCTACCTACCTTTCTGTCTTGGCCGGAAGTTCTCCTAAAGTGGTTTTTTAAAAATGTGTATTGCATTTCACTCTATCAGGCATCACTCAAACAGGCATGTTCATTTGCCATTCTTCAGTGAATTTCTGAGACTACAGAGCAAGAACATATGCAGTCCCTACAAGGTCCATGGTTATCCAGGCTAGGTAATATACTAACATACTTAATTTATTACAGAAAGTTGATTAAGTATTATAATCACCTAAATGTCAGTTGTCAGTAGAAGACACAGGTGCATTAAAGTTGCTGCTTTCCAGGGTCTCTTTTTCTCTGTGTGTGTGTGTGTGTGTGCGTCTCTTTCTCTCTCTCACACACACACACAACCAGAATTCTGTCTTTGCTCCACCTCCCCATTTACAGATGTTGGCATGGCAGTGAGCCTGAGGTGGTCCCATGAGGTCATGATCCTGGAGTCCCAATCCTGCACTTAATTGTGTCAAACTCCATGAATACAACGAACAGCTAGTCTTCTTTGAGTGTTAAGGGCCAATTCTTGTCTATAGTATGAACCTGCTTTATCTCCTTCAATTTTCACAATAACTCTAAGAAGAAATTCTATCAATGAGAAAACTGAACCCTATAGAGGTCAGGTAATTTGCTTAAGGTCACACAAAGAGAAGAAATGATAAATCTAGCTTTGACCTCATTTCTTTGCTCACTCATACTACAATTCATTTCCTCTAACCTCTCCCAGTCACACTGAAATAATAGCTGTGGTGCTTCACTCCTCTGCTCCTACTGAATGCTTTGCCTGGGATCCTCCTCTCTGATATTCCGTTGTCAAGTCCTACTTAATATTCTGTCAAAATCCTACCCGGGGACCTCCTGACTTGATGCCCTATATACATTTCCCATCTTGCACGTACCACACTGCTCTGTAACTGTATCCTTCCCTCTCTACAGGCTGTGGGCCCCTGAAGAGCAGGGTCATATCTTAGTGCTCTTTCCTCAATGTGTCGGGTACAGATTACTCTGCAATAAAAGTGTTTGATTAGTGCGTACGTCATTTGTGGGTTCTCAGTAATTTTCACTGGATGTAATAGTGTCTGGGAAGTATAAACCAGTCTCTAAAGGAAGTACACACTAGCAATGAGAAAAAATGTTTGGAAAATCATAAGTTTTTAAACAGATTATTTATAGATTAAAATTTTTAATAAAAAGTAAGTTTCACAATAGGCTTTTTCTTCTTCTGTAATCCCTCACCATTAATATTAGGCTTAATTATTTAATTTTAGTTTACTAGGAGTCAATATGTAATTTAAAAATCTAATTGTTATTAGAGCTGTACGGAATAATAAACTTTAATAACTACCATGACATCTCAGCACATAAAAACACTTAATTTTTAACATAATTATTAAGTAAAACATAATGGAAACAATTACACACAACTCTACTCTTTGACCAATTTTGAGTTCTAATTTTCATCTTGTTTTTCTTTATTGTTCATGTCTGCAGCTTTCTCTTTTTTTCTGTCATTTTTTTTATTGAGGTTTAAGTGAAAAAAGATGTATCACAATGAAGAGGGGGAAATTAACAGACTTAATAAGAACAAACAAAATACACTTACTTTTAATATACAGGAAGATATTAAAATGTCTACAAGCATATTTAAGTTTGAACATTTAATTACATTTTTCTGCAGCATGTATTTAATTTTGTTATGGATTATCAAGCAGTTAAAATATCTAGAATGCTGTCTGTTCTGGCTTTTGTGTTCAGAAGAGGGTCCGGAATGGGGTGCATAACTACCCACATTTATAGCTCCCTAAAACCACTGTGTTTGTTAGAATCTTCAGGAAACAGTCACTCTGATAACCTCAAGTAATGTAAGTTTATTGTAAGATCATGTTTCTCAAATGCAGGCTATACCTCAGAGAATTACATGAGTTATCAGCCTGGAGGTATGGGAAACAATTAGAAAAAAATCTGGCCTACCTCCCTAAGTTGTTCAATTTCATCAAAAGATTAAACATTAATTTTTATATAAAATTTAGCACAGATCTTTTAACAAGGAAAATGCAAATGTCTCATGAAATTTTAAAGATAAAAACATGAGACTGCAAAGAAATTGAACTTGTGACAAGCTGCCTGGGCCGAGTCCCAGACTACACACTCGTTTCTTACTCGTTTCAGTTAAGGGGGAAAGTCAGAGAAGTACTTACTGTATAGGACTCTTGTAGAAATGAAGACAGTAAATAGCAGGAGCCACACAGCAGCGATTGTTAGAGATTGGAATACTAAGGTAGCTAAAAAGAAATCCAAGATGACTCTGGCAACATGAATTATCTTGACATCACCTCGGCAGCTGAATGTTCCATCCTGCATCCTTAAGATAACGCCAGCAAGGGTCATATGCCCTCTCCCACAGTGCTTCCTGCCACCAGCCAACACCCTCCCTGCTCCTTTTTGATCTTTCATTTTCTACTTTGTTATAGTTTTTACTCCAGAGGTCTTCCATAGCCTCTACAGCCCACTTTCTTTCTGGGTATCTTTTGCTTCCATTCCATCTTTCAAACGCCTAAGCCAATTTGTGAATTAGATGCAAAGCTCTCCAAAGGAAGGTGATTAATTTCTTCAATTAATCACCATTATCTCTATTTCGACGTAGGTTTTGGGCCGCGCTGCCTCCTGGGGCACCGGCCAGCCTATGTCTTGCTTGCCATCTAGTTCAGTTCCCACGACTGGTGCGGCCGACTGTGTCAGCGGAGTAACACAGTTTAGGGATTAAACTGTGTTTAAGGATTGATTCATACAGGTTTCTGCAGAAAAAAAAAATATCATGGCTTTCTGACTCTAGTCTGTTCCAAAACAGTCCTTCTAAAAGTTGCCAGGAATGAATTTCTTTGGAAGGATTAAAGATAGGGGATGAAAAATTTCCTTGAACGTGAAATTCTGGGTAAACTTATATAAAAATCTAAAGAATTGATCTTTGTTTGAAGGCACCTCCTATGTAATGTAGATATCCTTTCTTATTTGTTCTTCTTTCCCTTAAAAAAAAGTTTTGTATTTCAGTTACAGAGGGTTGAGTTAAACATACTCCCTATAGTTCCTAGCCCACCATCACTATTGGTCCATGTAAGGCCTCCCTTGATTGACTTATTGATTAATTGGATTCCTCTTCTCAATATCTCTGATGGAGGTTTTAATGTGCAGCTGGAACTCACTCTAAAGGGAATAGCCTGTGCCATATATAGAACCCTCTAATTCTTAGATTAAACCAAAAATAAATTTTCTATGACTGCCCAATGTTCTCAGGTATTTCTTGTGGGAATCTACAGAAAAAGATAATAATTTTTCTCAATTCCATAGCCTTTCAATCCCATAAATTCAGCTATTATAACAGGCAAACCTTTGTTTTTCTATATAAAACATTGTTCCTCAATTATGTCTTCATGTGATACATGCTTAAGACACTTTACCACCTAGTCACCTTCCCTTGGACACATTCTAGTTTGACAATGTCTTTTTCAAAAAAATAGTAACTTAAATATTTAAAAATAGATGTGCTCTGTCAGTATAAAATGTGATGGGTGTAACCTCACCCCTCCCTTCCTTAATTTCTATTTCTATTAATTCATCATAAAATTTGTATTATTTTTTAGAAATCATACCACATTTTTGACTCTCAGTGAACTTTAAATCTCTTTTAAGTGAACTGCTGTCAGTTCAGAGCTCTCCTACCTTATATTTAAGTAGTTGACTCTTTGAACTTAGATGCAGAACTTACCATTTAACCCTATTAAGTTGTGTATTGTTAATTTTATTCTATCTTTCTCCTTTGTCAAGGTCTTTTCCAAGTTTGATTATCTAATATGGTTTATCAGCTTTTACTTCAACTTGTAATCATCTACAAATTAGATAGGCAAAAGTTATATTGAAATTCACCTAATTCACTGATTAATACATTTACAATTTCAGGACAGAGAAGAGAGTATTTGAGTGTAAAAAAGAATTATGCAGGATGTTTTTCAAACATCCAGATTTCTCAGTTTTGTTTCCAAAAATTTTGATTAAGTGCAAGATGGGACTCCAGGAACGTGTGTTTCTAAGGAGCACATGTGATTCGCATGCTTTTGGTCCTGGGTGACAACGCTGAATTCCCTTCGAGTGTAAGTTGACAGGATGTGTTTATTAGTTCTAACAGGGTGATCGTCTAGCACCATGTTGGACACATAATTAATACTGAAGGAATGTGTGAAAGGATAAAGAAATGAAGGACGTGAGGGAAAGCTCGGCTAATAAACCCAGTTTATGTTTTCCCATTTTGTAACCCAGCCCATATGACTGGCTTTTTCGAATACTTTGTAGTGAGTCAATTATATTGTGTCTTTGATGTTCCCTACTGGGAAGTGTGTGTTCTGCATGACCTGATCTCCGTGAGCTCATGTTGCCTGCCAGTGATCACTGCTTTTTCTTTTAAATGCTCCCACATTGTACGTTCCATTCCTCTGCCTGGAACCTCATTGAGAATTAAAGGAGGTGTCTTATCAAAACCCAGCTATCTCCTTCTACTAATGCCTGCTGGATTTATAAGAAATTCAATTATAATTGAAATGTCTGACTTATTTGGTTCCCTTCAGGCCACATTGCTATCTTTTCAGTGTTAACATGTTTGCAGATAAATACGAACCCAAGTGCTGGGTAATTCAACCAGGAGGAAATCCTTACTTTTCTTCCGTATTTATATTTTTGAAAACTTGCAAAATCCACAGAAAGACTCAGAGAATCATACAATGTTCTTAACCTGTTCAACAGCCGTTAGCAGTCTGCTGCGTTTACTTTGGTATCTTGCTATCCGCAGACAGACGTCCCCCCTGAACTGACTGGTCGCCGTGTTCCTTCAGTCTCCTTTGGGCTGGAGCAATTCCTTTTCCTTGCTTTCTGCCTTCCAAGTTGGTCATCTGAATCTTCTGACTGTGCTCTTGGTTTTGTTTTTTTGTTTCGTATATTTTTTTTGCTTTTGAATCACAAAGTTCTACATATTCAAAACCTAAAATAAAATTAAAGAGAACTAAAATATACCAAGCTTTAAAATGTATTCCTGAAAGGAGATTGGGGCAGAATGTCATGGTGTTCGCCATACATTTTAAGGAATCAGATAATAAATAAAGGAGAAAGGGACAGAGACTGTGTGGGATCATCGTGGAACACTGTGAAATCTAAGGAAGTTTCAACGAGGCCATCAGGAACTTTTTGCAGACAAAATCAGCTATCAGGTCAGTCTCTAAGCCTCCAAGAAAGGACTTGCTTAAATATTTCTGCAAGCAAACCACAGCAATGGATTTCAGATCCCAGCCCCCAGGACTACTGGGGGAGTCCAGAGAGGTGACTGATGGGCTGATGCGCCAGGGTCACTTCCCCCTCTCTGTTGGGTCTTCATCTGATTGATTGCAGGAGCATCAAAGCCAAGTGTCTTCTCCCTCCATTCAGGACAGATCTGGAGGGTCCCCCCTGAGGCTCTGTCGAGACTTTATCCCAAGTCAACCTATCTGCTTCCTCCCTTTAGCTACACCTGGTGCCGATTTTCAGAGTGTTCCCTGATACACGGTCCATGTGCCCATCTCCAAGTACTGTGTTCTTATTATCTATAAACATGTGTAATCCTTACAACAAGATAAGATACATGCTATTAGCATCCCCACTTTATATCTGAGCAACCTGATGTGCAGAGAGTGACTAAGCGACGGCCCACAGGTACTCACGCAGCTGGGACATGTCAAGGCCGATGCTGGCACAGGCATCTCACAGTCTCTGCCGCCCTGATCTGCCACACACGGTTCTCCTCTGTGACATGGAGATTGCCCTTAGCACGCACTGCATCCTAGTTCCACCATATCCATAGTGTCTTCAAGATGCTTCCCTAAGCAAAGATGTAGAAAAACTTCTTGGAGATTGAGCATGGGAGGGGATTTGTTGTGATTGTGTAAGAAAGACAGGTAAAAGCAGTTGTAACCTGAATCCCTGTTCTTCCACTGGGCTTTAGCCTTGGCCAGGGAGTTCAATTCACCCTCTAAGCTGATTCCCCAGAGCTCAGTTTTCCTCTGGTGACATGGTACACTTGCCACTCCCACTCTTGCAAAAAAAAAAAGAATGTGCAGAGCACACACACACACTCACACACACACACACACACACACACACACACAAGGACAGGTAAATGAGCTTCTCTTCCTAAGAGGAGAGGTACTTCTTGTTCCTGACCTATTTGCATACACATGCAGAGCTCGTATAATGTAGCTTAACCAGCCTATTTAGCATTTATGCATTCTGCTCTGCTTTCAACAAGCTCTTTAAGATGTGACTTATTTAACAACCATCTTCATAAATCTGCAAGGTCAAAGTAGCCACTTCTGTAGGGAGACTGAGGGACTATCAAGACTTCTGGTGCAATTCACAGTTGGGAGATTGTTCTGCTCCTGTGAGTTTTTCAGGCCAAACGGTAGGATGACCAATTGCCCTGGTTTTTCCTGGGGTTGAGGGGGTTCCAGAATGAGACACTCTTGTTGCTGACACTGGGAGGGTGCGGGCAACCCAGGCGGGTGACCGCCCTGTAATGGACATTTTATGATCCGGTATGTTTACGTTACAGGAAACACCTGCTCCTCTAGTGTACTTTCTATTATCTCAAAAATATTTGTATTTTATTATTAAAGCAAAAGATAGAAACAGTGGAAGGAAATAAAAAAAGAAACCGAAAACCACATGTGAATTCATAACACAGAGATCTCTTTTGATGCTTTCCATGAGCTTTTCTGTGTGTGTGTGTGTGTACACATGTGTTTTACAACTAAAATGGTGCAGTACAAACACTTCTGTGTCCTGATTTTCACTTAGACAAGCATTCTCCCATTTCAATAAATACTTTTCGAAAACACCATTGCTAATGGTTGCATAATTTTCATTAAGGATGCTTTACTTAACCATTCTCTCGTTGTTCCACATTTAGGCTGATTTTCGCTGTTAATGATAATGTTGCAGTGAACATCTTTGGGTTTCTAATTATTTTGGGAGGAAAGTTTTCCAGGGCGTTTGGGCATGGACAGTTACGGGATTAGTTTAAAGCTACTGAATCCTGTCTCCAAAACGCTTCTGGGAGGCGCTGTGCACCAGTGGCATTTGTGCCTGCCCCAGTGAACTCCTGCCAGCCCTCGGTACTTTTCCAGTCTTTGCCAATGTTATCAGTTTTAAAAAAAGAGTAGGTTAAAAAAATTCTAAATAATCTGCGTTTGTTTACTTATGAAGTGCAAACCTCTTTCACAGCTTTCTCACTTGACCTTTCCTATACATTTTGTTCATATATTTCTCCAGATTTTATATTCAGTCTTAATGTTTTCTCAATTTGTATGAACTCTTTATAAACTGTAATAACTTTTTAAGGTCATACTTTGTTTCAAATACTTTTTCATTCAAATACTTTTCATGATCTATGGTTGGATAGATG